AGAAGCCGATATTTCTATTTCACTCTACTATTTCACTCTGTCGTGGTTTAAACCAAACCAGACAACTCATTCACTCACTTCCCCCTGCTTCTTGCCCTCCCCCTACTCCCGGCGGGACGGAGAGGAGAGTCAAAAAGAATGCAACTCCCACGGGTTGAGATAAGAACAGTTTAGTAACTAAGGTATAACACAAATCACTACTGCTACCACCAATGATAATAATGATAAAGGAAATAACAAGGGAACAGAATACAACACCTCAGCACCAGCCAACCGATAACTCGCCCCCCAAGCCCAACCAAGCACTGACCCATACCTCCTCCAACCTTGCAGACTCCCAGCCCTTCCGGCTAACTCCCAGTTACTTCCTGGGCATGACATGCTGTGGTATGGAATACCTCTTTGGCTAGCTTGGGTCAGGTGTCCTGCCTCTGCTTCCTCCCGGCTTCCCCTCCTCCCTAGCAGAGCATGAGGCTCACAAAGTCCTTGGCCAAACCAAAACATCCTTGTTATCAGCTCTGTTCCCAGGCCGAAAGTCAAAACACTGCACTGCACCAGCTACCAAGAAGGAGAAAAATGACTGCTGCTGCTGAACCCAGGACACACTCTCAGTCTATTTTCACTCTCTACTGTCTGCAGTTCAGCTGTATGACTCCTGCTGGGGTCAACAGTGGCATCCAAATAGTTGAAATTCCAGCTACATTTATTCCTTTACTTTCTTGACATATTTAATTTAAACAAAAATTTGATTTTCTAAATACATTATTTGAAAAGAGCAAATGTAAAAATGATAGACAAGTAATTAATTCATAGCAAAGTATGGACAAATTCAAAGCTGGCAAAGCAAAGGCTGGCATGGCCCAAAGTCTTTAATGCATGCTGTGTGAATCCTGGATGTTGTGGTACAGCTCACTATTTTATTTGGAAGCTGTATTTATTCAGTGGGTAAAAAAAAAAAAAAATCATTTGTTATTATATCCTTTTCTATTTTGTGACCTGTTGCTTGAGAAACAATAACTTAGTTAAAAATAAACAATTAAAATTAAGTGTTCAGTGTTTAGGAAAATGTCTTTCTTTAAAGAAAGATACCTTTGAAGTGTCTTTAATAGTATCTTAAAAGGGTAGTATTTCAATGGTACCATGAGTTTTGGAGACTGTTTCACAATGTAGTGGCTACACCTTGATCTTCCAATGTTGCTTGTTGAAAATTATCCCTCGTAACACCTTTTCTATCTTTTCTTCAATAAGAAATTTCATTACTAAGTTTGATTTAGGAGTATTTTCAGTGCTTTTATCACATTTAGTTACTGGTCTTGGAGGAAGAGGATTTCTTCATTTTTTATTTCTTTCAAGTCAAATGTCTATTTTATTTATTGCAGAAGATGCTAGAGCTTTGCAGGACTGACAGAAGTTATGTGTTGTGGCAAGAAGCATCTATATGGGAAAAAAGGAGGACACTTCAGTTCTGATTTAGGAATCAGGAGGGTATTTCTTTATGCAGTGGATTAATTTAACGAAACATTTATAAAAATCACAGGCTTAAAAAAATCATGACAGGACATTCCTTATAAAAGTTGTATCTAGACTAAACTGAATAATATTTTTAGCAATTTGAATTCAATGATTTTTATATAAAGATAAAAAGGAAAATGATGAGTAAATTCTGAAAGGCATTAAACAGATATGTTAAAGTTTTGCACCTAATCTGGCTGAAACAATGGACGCTATTTTCCGTTGCCAGACCTTTGAGTACTTGCCAAGCTCCTGTATTTCTATGTACTTACGACTTTTCATAAATATTTCCATTATATAATGGTGCATAGGTCTATAGTTAGTATATTCGAAAAGCTGACATAAAACTAGTGCAGAAAATATTTAAACGGAGCTTTAAGTTTTGAGGTTTGTTTGGTTTTAGATTTTTATTTTTCATATAAAGATATGCAGGAATAGCATAAATCAGTTTCTTGAATACCTGTCTTAGTCTGGCTAGAGTCTAACCAGTACAGCCAATGACAATCTCAGTTCCTGCACTGAGTATCCCTGGAATAGAAATACAGAACAGACTCATTTATTCCAAAACTGCAAACAGGTCTTTGCGTATCAGTCCTGTTTCTATTAAAGCAGATACTGCTGCATAGTTTTAGGGGATGTGTGTGTCATAATTCTGAGTTGGCTTAAGTATTAAGTCTTCCACAAATATAAAATCCTTTCACCTATGTTCTGTAAATTACTTTGAATTCATGAAGGTATTGTGAATAATAGCAGATTATAGTTCATATGGCTGCTAAATCAGATTTTTTAAGTTCACAGCCATTAGGAAAATGTCCTGCTATGTGCTATTCCTTTATTAAATCGTGGAAGGAAATGTTTTTGCAGAAGTACAATACCATGTTCAATTCTTAAATGCAGAGCTCCCTTACACAGAAAAATGTTTAAGACCTTTTGTACTGTGTAATGCTAAGTGCCCGTTCTACATTCCTGCAATGTATTTACTTACTTTATTACAAGGAAGCAGTCGCTGCCTGTGTCATTAGCAGGTATAAACAAGTGATGAAAAATCTGGCATAAATATGTAGGTTGAAATATAAGTAGCTTTATACATAGAAGTAGATATATTTACATATGATTAAACTGCCTATAACCAATGCTTTTGTATGTTTTCACTAACAATTTTAATTGCAAAAGAAATCCAAACAATCTGAACTGTATTTGCCCAATATGTAGTCTTAATATCCTCTCAGCCATCTATTCCAGTAAGTATAATAACTTCCATTTGCTTTCTTGGCATGTTCTTTCCTTTCTCTGAAAACTAAGGAAATAGGTTGACTGGGAATTTAATATACACTTGCACTCTAAAATCAGGAGAAGCATCTTCCAAACAGAAGGAAAGAAAACAGCAGAAGTCACTTCTTCTGTCTGGACATTCAGTAGGAGATGAAAATTAAGCCAGCATGTTCCATTCTTCACTACTGAAAAGAGATACACAGTCTTTTTTAGTGAAAGGTAGTTTAACTTCCCTATTTCCTCCTTTTAGTTTTTTTAATGTAGCATTGTTATCTTTGGCTCATCCAAGTTCAGAAGTTTATTTCCTACTCAAGTAGGAAAACAACTGGACATGCAAAGGAGAAGCATATGTATGCCAAAAACTAGTTACCTAATTATTTTAAAGCTACTTGAGATAGAAGAAATATATGAATATATATGTAGATACATTTATTGTTAGTGCATAGTTGTAAAGCAGGAGTATGTAACCATCACCCGTAATAAGTGAAAATCTGCATAGGTATTACAAGCATCATCATTTTATTATCAAATGTAAAAACACTACCCAAGATGTTGGTAGTAATCTGTAACTAGATCACTAGGTCTCTCTGTCAGTTTTAGGCTTGATCATTCCATAATTATCAGAAAGGGTGGATGGACTTTGATTTCTAAAGTCCAGATTCATATGTAATGTCTAGAATCACATTAGTACCAGTAAAAGATGGCATGAAATAAATTTTCCGGTTAACTGATGGCATATGGGAAAAGTCTGTGCTAGTTAATCTATGTGGGGTTAAATTTCATTTCAGCAGCTGGCAAAGCTTGTTACTCTAATAATTGGAAATAATCAATACAGAAACTGTTGAAAATAATCAACTGCATATAGGAATATTATTGATGAGCAAAATGCCATTTGCTATTTTTACTGCCTTTTATTGTATTTATATTGTAATTTAACTACCTTCTAATTAGTTTTAACTTAGCTCAATTGGAAGTAGTAAAACCTACTTATCTAATAACTGACACGCATCATAAAGAAACATACAACCTCCTTATTTCCCCTAGGTCAGTCATTCATGAACTAATTAACTAAATTTTTGTTTCCCCACTTTTTTGAAGAAAAGCAGTACAATTGAATTTGTCCTTTTTCCCCTTCCCAAAGCAAAACACAGAAACAAGCTTCCTCCCCCCAAGCTGCATTCTTAACTGTTAAAATATCCTAAAGCACTTGATCACGTTGCGTTTTAATTTCCAAGCCATGTGTTGTATTAGTGAAGTGCACATGTTACTGATTTGAGCTGAAAGTTCTCAGTCTGTTTAGCAGAACACCAGGCTGGCACGAACGAGGTCCTTGATAGGTCAGAGGCCTTAAGTTGACATCTTTCTTAAATCTTACTTTTGTGAAAACTAGAAGCACAGGTCAGGGCAGCTAGCTGATGGCATTGCCTCTTACAACCACTGATTAGATTAGCTCAACATTTATCAACTACACACAGACTAACACTTAACCTTTTAACTGCAGAGTTTTGATGTATCCTTATTTTTTAATGAGGATGTTATTGTCCCAAAGTGTTGCTTAAAGCTTTAGTGCAGGTTTTTTCTCCCATTTAGCTGACTAACAGGCTTTAAATGCTTTAAAATTCAAAGTGCGGTGTTTATAACTGTGCTTTGTTTTGAAGTCAAAAGCTGAGAAATTTTGCTCTGGAACAATTTATTCTAAATATTTCTATTGTATCTGTTCCATTAACCTAGAATTCAAGATTTAATTTATAGCTCGCTTAAGTGCTAGCTGGTTTTTATCCTAAACCATTAACAGAGAAATATTTACAATTGGCTTTTTCCTTACGAAAGATGCCGTAACTTACTACTTTGGATGTACCTAGTTACTTGTAACTCATTCTGAATATGGACTGCAATCACCTGGGTTTTGAAAACTAATTCATATCTCTACAGGGAGCAAAGTTGCCCGTGATTCCACATCCAGCAGGCTGAATTCAAGGTTTTAATTCTCTGTTTGAATTTGGGACCTATAAGAGATATATTTTGCTAGTTACAAGTGTGGGCACAGTAAAAGACTGCAAAAAATATTGTCACCAGTAACCTAAAATAATCCTGAACTTACAGACTGATTGGAAGATTTGAAGCTCTTACTGTGAGAAACCAGCAAGCAGGTAGCAAAAAAACAGCAGATGCAGAATTGTACAATTTCAATGTAGGAAGCACTGAGATCTCAATACCATACTGAGGTGAGCCTCAGGTAGCTGGGGATTGTAGTCACTGCATTTCTGAACTGGGGTCTTCCAGGGCCCAGGAGTGGCTGAAACAAGTGCCAGTAGTGGCAAACCGTGACATAACACTGGCATCAACAACCTAGATATAAAGAAAACTGAAATTACATTGTGAGTATTGCCAAGTATATTATCTACAAACAGTGTAACATCAACAGGGCAAAATAAAAGCAGAAAGTCACAAATAAAAAAATGGGAATGTTTACTAAGTAATAGCATTAACTAACTGGTCCACTGTGGTTTAGTTTTGTGTTGTAAATCCTGACAGCCAGTTATTTTTACCATGAGCAGCTGGGGACACTGCATCTATTACTGTCATTTGACTCCATGAGTGTTACTTTTTATTGCACAGGTCAGTTAGATAGAGATTTCCTTAGGACCTCAGCATCAGGAGTATAAGGTATGAAGGACTTGAAAAGCACATAGGGTGGGTGACCACATTTATGTATCACCTAGTGAAAATGCCTTGTCAGCAATGAAGAGGACTGTCAGTGGTCTAGAATAGTATCTGCTGCTTCTACTTAAAAGGAAGCATTAAAAACTCCAATGTAAGCAGTAAGTGTCTCTCATTACCATCTAAGTATCTGGAATGGGAATTTCCACAAAGGGAAGAAAGCCCAATTCAATAAAAGTTTGGTTTGGGGAGTAGGTCTTCTTTTTCATTATTAACAACATTACCTCTTCCTATGTTAATGTGATGTCAGTAAAGATGAAATGTGTGAAAGCAAAGTAGAAATTTTAATGTATGGTTTATGTTTTCAAATCCAAGTTTGTAAACAGGACAGAGGACACTAATGTTTTCGGGGGGGGGGGGGGGGGGGGGGGGTGGTGTGAAAGGTGGGGAGAAATTCCTGTTTATGTGCTTCTGAATTTTTAAAACCAGTTTTGGGAAGCAGCATTATTTTCAGTCTGTTTTTCACCTGCCTTTAGACTGTGTGTTTCAGCTCTATGCCCTAACTCCAGTCTGGGTGTTCCATGGCAGACTGCCATATCCATACCTGTGTAAGCAAAATGTTTCTCGTATGGTCCCACTAGTAAAAATAGTGATCTTGGAGCAGGATTCCAACATCTGGGGGTGGAAGGGTAGGCTGACAGCAGTAACCAAACAGATCAAGACACCATACCAAACATGAAAGTTTCATTAATCTAGAAAAGAAAAGCAGAAGAGGGACTTGCATTTTTTATTACTGAGTCTCATGTTATCTAGCCATACGTAAACAATTTATTTTCCTGCTTAAATTAACCCTTTGATATTGCCAGATGACTTCAAGGCCCTATTTTGAATCAGTCGTGTTGTTCAAAGCAAACACTGTTTCCTAAAAACATTTTTTCTTAAAATTTAATTATATGCTCTTTAGAAAATGGTTAGACTTAGCACTTCCATCAGTATCACTGCAGACAACAAAGTCAACTTGAATATCAGTTATTATATTTGAAAGTGGTTATTTTATTGTTGGCAAGCAATATGAAAAACAGACGTGTTTAGGTTTAGTCAAATTGTGGTTGGTGGAAATTAATATACCACTCTCTAAATAAATTGAAGCCATTTGAAACTGCCCAGATCCTGGAAGTTAATAATCTTGTTCTATGAAAAACAAGCTCAATATGATGAAAGCTGGGTTTAAAAACCATGGGCGTATGCTATAGCTAACATAAAATGGTGGCACTTCATTGTTGTCACTGTTGCTATCTAAAACACAAAGTGTAGTGGTAAAAAAACATTGCAGTAGTAATCAGCTTCTATAAGCTCATATTTTATCACATAGTAGGGAAATAACAAATTTACAGTGGTTTTATTGTATTATACTTATTAAAAAACAAAACAGTTTGGTTGAATTTATTGATATATAAAAGTGACTCTTGACTACTTCTTAGCACTTCCCCTTGGCATCAGTTAATTTTTTTAAGTGTTTTAAAGGTGGTAAGTTGTTGTAAGGTTTGTATAGCTTCCCATTCACAGAAACCACACAAACCATAACAATAAATATAGTATTTACCACTCTACAGTATATCAGCATTATTTTTGAGGTTGCATTCTGTTTCTATGAACACCAACTTTCTTTTATTTATAGTAGGCAGGACTGTGGGCATGTGCTTAATTTCAGGTGAATACTTCAGATGTTTCTACAACATCCATGTGCTAATGCATGAGTGGAGTTTGGTTGTCTTTATATACTTCAGCATTTGAGGACAACCAACATGATAAGGCTGAAACTTTCAGAGATATAGAGAACATTTCATATTTTAACAGCTTAGATTGTCTACAAATCTATCCTGCCAAATGAGGTAAATATATACACCAAGCCTCAAGCCAGACTTCTATTAGAGTGAATTTTTACTGGCTTGATTAAATGCATAGGATTTGGAAGATACTAAACAGTCTTATACTTCCCTCCTTAAAATAACTAAAATGTTATCCTTGGAATTAAGCGCTTTAGGTGCTTTGTCACTTTCAGTAGAGAAAAAAAAAAGCGCAATCTGCAGTACATCATGTCTGTTTTGTCTGTATATATCTAGGAGTAAGTGGGCTAAATATGAGCCAATACATCTGTTTTCTGTAGGTACATCAGAGGTTACGCAGCTAGGAGAAAGCTATATAAACTTAAGGATTGTAATAGCACACAAGTAATGTCTCTATCCATTCATAAAATCAGACTAACAAATTAAAGAGTTTTGGCCATGGAAGTGATAAAGTTCCAAACTAGTTTCCCAAACTGATCAGTGAAAGCAAAAAAACTATTTTTCAATGAACTTCAGTCAGTGTGTGAAAAGTAAAGAGTGGTTGGGGTTTTGCCAAGATGTAAATGTATTATAAAAATATCCATTTTAACAGTGCTTTCCACATTTTTTTATTCTTAAAAGTCAGTCATTCAGAAAATATGCAGTTTTCTCTTTACTCAGCTGTGTCTTGATAAATTCAGTTTGTCCTGTCATAAAAGTTGTTACAATATTCATGTTGATTTTGCACATATGGAATAGACTCCTACACTGAAAATAAATTGTACAATCTGCTTGGTTTTCAAAACAAAAAATAAAAAATACCCCAAAACAAATATTTTACATTCCTTTTATGCATTGTATTGAAGTCCTGATGAAACTAACTCTAAAAAGAAAGAATGTGCCCTCTTAGAATTCAGGTAAATGTCATGAATCTATAATTAAAAGCAATCACACTTTCATCTGGAAAGGGCAGATTATTCCTCTATATCATGTACTTTTCTTTAATCAATTTAATAAATTTATACCTAAAGGGTAGGTGAGTGGGGGAGGGAGACCACAGAAACTTTTTTCTTTTAACACAGATTGTACAGAAGGTAAAATTTATGGATTAGAAAGCAGGGGTGGTACACAGAGTTGGTTGTAAAGTTACTGAAATCTCGCTACATTTGCCTTGTCATGAGGAAAAACAAAATTTAGCCAAGATTAATTTAGCATAGAACATCCCATCATGAGCATACTCTGTCTCACCTATATATGCATACATATTCTTGTATATGTAAACATATAACTGTGCTGCTTTTTACTACTAAAATATATAAATCATCAGGTTAGCTCTTTCTCTGAGCTTATTCTCCAGGAATCTTTTCAGATATAATTTATAAACAACTTTAAGTTAAAAGACAGGACCATGAAGTGCAAAATAAATACTGAGTTCAAGTTGCCAGGTTGTGTTTCATTTCTTACAAAGCTTACCTCCAGTTTTGAGGTGAGCTTTTTGGTTTTTTTCATTTACCTCTTTTGTACTTTTTGGAATTATTTTTTTTTTAATATAGAGATCAGCTTTGCATTTCTGGAGGTCTGCAAGTGGATAGCATTGTTCATGGAAAACAAGCTACTACTTATAATAATTTTTTGGTGTCTTTTGACACTTCCTTTTGGCTCAGCCATTAAAGCAGACCTCTCAGAAGATACATACATGCCTGAGTATATTAACAAAGATAAGCAAATACTAAAAATCTGAAAAGCTTCATCAGACTGCACTGGTGATAAATTCATTTATGCCATTTTTATGCCAAAGCACTCCAATGGCCCATTTCTTTGATTTCTTACAGTATTCTTCTTTCCTTTATTTAAAGATAGTCATTGTCACTTCAGAAAATCTGTGTTTTCTTGGCTATTGGGGGCATTTTTGGACAGAGAACAAAGTTTTCATATGTTTCAGCATTTCTGCTGCAGTGTCAAAGTATACTGTCTGCTTCAGTTCAGCTGAGACTATGTAAATTATTTGAATAAACTTGAAATGTTTGCTTTTTGATAAAGCAACATTTTGATAGTTTTTGATAAAGCAACAACTGCAGTCCTGCAGTGCACAGTATTTAATGTGGATGGCTGTTGTGGCTCTGAAGGATCATATCTCCCCCTACTCTTTTTTCATAGTACATCATTAGAGTTGAGGAAATCTAATCATATTCCAGCATATTAAAAGGGGGGAGGAAATGCCATTTAAAGCTGAATTACATTTCCACAAACTAAAATGAAAAATTTCTTTGTCAAAAATTTTATATGTTTAATTTTGATCAAAAATTACTGAATTTTAGTGTTGCTAAAAGTGGTAACTTCTGCATTAAAACTCCAAATTGTTAGTCTGACCTCAAACTGAGTGTTAAAGGTTGAGTGTCCAGATTTTGCACAGCCAAATAGTGATATGGTGCATTCTTCACTGCTTCTCTGGTGTCTGTACAGGTGGAAATAGCAACTGGAAAAGTAAATTGCTGGGACCAAGCTGAATTATGAAAGCATGCTAGTTACAGCAGGGTTTTATTAGAAGAAGTGTTTACTAAAGAGCCACGGATAACAGTAACATGAGGCATCTCATGTCCATCCCTGACTTCTTAATAAGACAGACTTAGAAGTGATTATAAACTGGCAATGGCATTTTATTTTTATTTTATTTTTAACTCTGAAAGCAGCTTTTTTCTTGCTTTTATTGAATTTCTGGGACTGCAATACAAGGAAGCATTCATTACTCTTAAATCTGGTACTGACAAGTCATGCACTGCAAACATAATTCATGTTCAACTATTATTTTGTAATTCTGTATCATTTTGTTTACATCTCATCCTGTTTCTTGTATTGATGTCAAATTATGATATAAAAGACAAATAGAGTTGGTGATCAATGACTAAAATACATGCTGATATAATCAAAATGGCATAAGAACAGAGGATCCATTAAGTGTGGATCATAATGTATGCCAGAAATTAAAATACATGGCTGTGAGATGCTTTAGTGTCATGTGAGATTTCAGTGCCTCTGTTTACCTTCCATTCATGTAAGGGAATCATGAATGAGATAGAATGCTTCAAAATAAGGAAAAAAAATAGAAGTAGTAAACAAGGTTATATCTCAAGAAGAGAGTAATTTTTTTGTTCATTACTGGTTTTAATTCATTTTGAACTATTGCAAAAATTTCCACATCATCATGCTGACCACCTTGCTTTTTCATATTGCATCCTGTGAACTATAAGATGACTGTCTGTGACTTAATGGGCAGAGCATTATTTATGAGATACATTTTCTTCAATTGCATTTGGAAGGTCCCTATCATACAGTCCAATGGATGCAACTCCTGATTGAATGGTCAATATTTCTTTGTTTGTGTTTTAGTGAGGTAATCAAAATCATTTTGCCCCCACATTTTGAAAAAAAAGACCACATATATAAACAGGTCTGTGTAATATATGTGTGTTTATGCACAACATCCTTAACATTAGGCACTATTATTTTAAGATACTGACTATTGTAATAGTTTTACATTAAACCTACAAAGACAGGGAATTCAGAATTACTGGCCTACCCTTCATACAGTCAGTGAATTATATCCAGGCACAAAGTGGTGAGTAAAGATTTTTAGCCTGATCTCTGAATTTCTTTGTGGCTGTGGGTCTGTCAGTCCTTTAACAATACACTAAAGCCGCTGGTTAGGGGCTGTGGTTTAATATGGACTCATGCACATGGCAGAGCTTTTACATTAGTGCTATTTCTTTCAATGCGTTATAGTGAAATTGTATTTTAAAACTAGGCAAACTATTGATGCTTTTA